GCATTAAAAGTTGAAACCACTACAAAAAGTTGCAAGAAATAAAAAAAATAAATTATGGACAAAGTATATACTGTATTTAAAAAAATAAAGCTGCAATTTAGACAAAAGAAAGTAAAACATGCAGAGAAACAAGTAACATGTGACCATGACCTTTTATTTTGTGACCTTGAAATTAATAGGTCATCATTGAAAGAGAATGCTTGCTGAATTAAGAAAAAAAATTCACCAAAAATTGTTAATGTAGCAAAAAATAAAGTTAAAATTAGCTGAAAATAGCTGGACAGGCACATTTGCTGAATTAAGCATTAAGAAGCTGAAATAATCACATAACAAGTCTAATTTAAAAAAAAGAAGCTAAAATGAGCTGAAAATTGCTTTTAAAAAGAAGCTTAAAAAGCTGAAATTTCCAGAAAGAATATGAAAGAGATCACTTGCTGAAATAAAATATAAAAAAAGCTGAAAAAATCACCAAAACATGAATTTATCTGGATGGTGCTCAGTTTAGCAAAATAAAAGCTAAAGAGTAGCTGAAAAGGCAGGAAAAAATAAAAACAACAGAATGAAGCTGAAAAGAGTATAAATAGCTTAACTTAGCAACAATAAGAAAAAAGAAGCACATGCTGATATTAGCAGAAAGAAGTTGAAAAATAGGTGAAAATGCTGAAAAAAGCTAAAATTAGAAAAAAGGTGAAGAAAGTTGAAATTAGCAAGGAGAAGTAAAAAAAACAGCAGAACCAGAACAAAAGGTGGAAAGTACAGAGGTCTATAAATATTTTAAAGGTTTTTAAGGATGTTGCAGACAGCTCCATTAATTTTCAATAAAAAAAGGCAGAAAAAGCTGTCTAAAAGTATAAATTGCTGCAATAAAAWCTCATAAACCACAATGTCCTGAAGGAGCTGAACGTTTTGATTTGTTGAAACACCAACAAGCGCGTAACAAGATACAAAGATTGTATGCGGAAGAAAAACGRGCTTCAGTGTGAATGTTTGATGAGCAACAAGACAAATTTTACACAATGTAGTTAAACACACACCTCAAACTGTTAATCTAACACAACTCTGTCTTTGTAATGGAGGAGAGACACTTAGGCCTATGAGTGTTTTTTAATAGAAAATATTTAGTACAGTTTGTCCACGTCTAAAATATAGGTCATGTCACACTTAAGAAAAGTAACTTTCTTTGAAATACAGTTAAACATTTACAGYATTTCAGCTGAATGAAACCGGCCTGTATGGACGTTTTTAAAGCTAAGCTAAAGACCTGTACACGTTATGAGTCTTAAAATTTACATTTGTATTTTTCTTTTTTCAATGTTTTACTTGTTCTTACAACTTTTTATGTTGATTTTATCATTTTTGTAACTGATCAGCACTTTTTCTGAAAGCGCTTTTTAAATAAAGTCATTATTAGAAAAAACGTGCTTGTGTAAATTTAAATTGTGCAACATAAACGAGTTTTATTTCTGGGTAATTACACATTGTTTAAATGTAATGTGGTTGATTTTAGCTACACGTGTAATCTGATTACATAACGTTGATTTATACAGAACCTGCTAACCATAAAATGGCGCAACTCAACGTTTTGCGCGCCATCCGTCTCCGTGGGCGCGTGGCTTGAGTGGGCAGCTGGAAGTGGCGCAACATGAAGAGGCGCAGACTCAGGTGCGTTAGAAACTCTCATTAACCGTCCTCACCTGCCAGAACCTGGCAGGTATCGTGAGTGGGTTTCCTGGCAGCCCCCCCTCTAAACTGTAGGAGCTGGAATGTGCCAAAACTTGCTTTTTGGGGTGGGACACCATGACCTCAGGCAGCAGGGATGGGTGGGTGCGACTTATCGAGGGGAAAGAAAGAAAAAAAAAAGAAAAAAAAGGAAAGGAGTCGTGAGAGAGATGAGGCGGGTGAGGACAACCCCCTTTTTTTAAATTTTTTATTATTTTTTTGAGCGCGCGCGATTGTGAGCGCGTGACAGTCATCGTGAAAGCTCAGAGCGGGCAGGAATGGGTTAATGATTTGTGTCGAGTCATTTTACGGCTCTGACATATGTCCTCCTTTTAAAAAATGTTTTCACTTTAACTTTTTTTTTGCTTGACAGGAGGAAGGAAGGTGGAGGTGTGTGGGGAGAGGGGGGGGCGCTATGTCTTTAAGAGAGAGAGAGAGAGAGAGAGAGAGAGAGAGAGAGAGAGAGAGAGAGAGAGA